GAGAAACGCTGGTCTAGATGAATCATGAATGCAGTTGGTATTTTGAGTGCCCATTACGTTAACAGGCTACACCACTTCAAATGTGTTGAATGAGGTTGTTTTAAATAAAATTCTCAACGATTTTATAAGATCAGTCATTCATGTTGTTTTCTGCAAACAGCTTTAAACTGATTGTGAGTTGAATAGCCTAGAACATAGCAGTGGTACATTGCTCATTGCTTTCGAAAGATGATTGAAAATCAAGTTGTTGAATCGCATAATCCACACCTGGCCGTAAACCCATTCGAGCCACCTCAGCTGGATCCGAATATAAAATGGCTCCTATAGCACCATTTAGTTGTGCTTTCCTGACCTTATCACCGCGAAATCCTTTGCCATACCTCATCAGTGCAATTCTATCCTGAACACGCTTATCATATACTTTCCGCTGTGAAGAACATTGATGCATTATTCCCAGAAAAACCAATCGAGCAAATTGAAGAACCATTTGAAGAATGAATGTGATCGGTTGCGAGATCATCGAATGCTCAATAACGCTTATAGCACCTCAATGGATTGAGCACCTTTTACTTTACAAGCACCTTTTATTCTACCTTAACGCTGATGCCAAGCTTGTTGAGCCATTCGAAATCTTCAGTCGTACCGTAGTTGCAATAGACTATTTCTCCCTCTGCCGTTCCATTTTCTGAATAGGCAAGCCATTGAATGCCTGCACCTGAAATTCCATTTTCAAATTTTCATTAATACTGCTTCTGAATTCCTGGAGACCAGTGAATTCTATCTCTCGACAATCACCAAAAATCACTGTGCTTCAACGAATGTTGATGACGAACCTTCGGCTCCTTGCTCCTCCGGAATAATGACCGGACTCACACCTTTCGATATGTATTCCAATCTGCCGCTGTCAGCAATTATGAGCATCCGATTTGGTGTTTCATAATTTGGATACGATAATAACACTTCGTATTTTGTGAAGTGCACATCTGCAACCAACATAAAACGTGCTTACGGTTCCGGACTGTGCTTACGAAAAAAATGGAAATATTCGCGAACACCTTAATTCCCCACTTCAACCTCCAAATCAATTATCTTCAACATCGCACCTGATAACCCATTTTTGCGCCACAAATCGGCAATTTTGCTCGCAACTTTCGTATTGGCTCGTGTTCCGGCTGGATGAGGTAGACTCGTTAGCAGTCGTAAATTTTCTCTTATGTTTTCGCCTTTAACGTTTGATATAAGACGCTCAGAGATACTTTGGTGGTAATCTGAAATGATTCAAGCATACTTCTTTAGTTCGTNTTTCTCAGAGCCATTCCGATTTGGATATATTTACGACGATCGATATGGCATAGAAAATCTATTTTCTATTTTCGATTGAAAACCTATGAAAATCTAATTTCTCGAATAGTTTTTAATCTAGAGAGAATGGCGCAAGACGGTCTGGTCATTTTCTCAAAAGTTGAGCCAGTGCCCCTCCTCAGAGAGGGATCGGCGGCTTTTATAAATCTTTGGATCAATGAGCGGGGATTTTTATGAATATATGGAGCAACTAAAATCAACTAACTCACCTTCAACAGTTCCAAGCCTGGGTTGTTTTGCAGGATGTGCTGTATGATAAACACCCAATAAACCAACGAGAACAATTGCTACAAATCCAATCCCCAGAACGGATGTGGCACGCATCATTGCCTTACTGCACAAGCTATTTGCTGCAATACTCACCATAGTTTATGTCGTTTGCACTCAGCACAGTCTCTTTTCATTTCTCTTGATGAGATGCAAAAACACTGAATCTGATCACTTCTGCTGATGTTACCTAAACTGTCACTTACCATATCCCTAGAGCAGTTCCGTAGATAAGTCTGTGAGCATCTGAATCATCTCAAAAGGCCTAGCCAAGTCCCTAGGATTAACTTTACTGGAATTTACTGGTGAAGTGGTCATTCAAATATGTGCATAGCATTCAGTTCGAAATTTGTTGCGAAGAATTCAGCGTTGAAAGCTGTTCATTGCACCGCTTCTCAGCATCTGTGAGAAAATGGCATGCTGAACATGCCAAATTCACATTCAGGTAGATCAGGTCGTCAAAAAAGGGACGATTATAGGATTATAAGTGAAAGGGACAGTAACTAAGTAGAAGGTTAATTGGTTGGCCGTTTGCGTTAATAGTTTTATAATAGATTCACATCAAAATGCTCACTCACAAGTACTTAAAATGTTCACAATCGTTTCATGGAAGCAGAAAGAGCAAGGTACAGACATCGATTCAAGATAAGAGAACAACTGAATGGGCAAAATGCTTATAACACCACTTTCTCAACAAGTATCAGCAAGCATCTATCTACCTAACTGCTCGGTAGATGAGCAAGAGGGCTAAAATGGAAGCGGGGAATCAGCCCCGTCATTCTGATTCAGCTTCACCCAAATTTACGAAATAAATTACCCAAGCGAGAGTTGATGTTATGTGTAGGCATGAGCTCCGGTTCTTAAAAAAATCTGTGAGAAAAAGTACTGATACATTAGCGATTGTTAGGAATCATTCATGAATGAGGTCAACCCAGACTGATCAGCTGCTGAATGCTAATCATCGAACGCCACAGAGTATTGAAGCTTCCCTCAAATCACTAGTAACTCAGCAAGTTATAGAAATAGTAGAGAAAGCAGATCACTTAGCTGAAAAATGTCGATGATCGCGCTAACATCGCATCGAAGTGCATATGTTAGAAACAAAGAATTGACCTTGGTGATCGTTTTCCGCAGATGGGTTAATTCATATTCAGAGACAAAATCATTTGTATGATTCTTAGGCTCATTTCATTTTTTTATGAGAAAGAAGTTCGCACCTTTAACAGAGGCAATTTTAGACGATTGTTCAGTGAA